TGAGGTTTCAGCCCGGTTCATGATTTTAATGATATTTTCAGTTAAATTTCCGGGATTATTTCAGTTCAGTAAATTCATATCCGATCAGTTCATGTCAGTTCAGTTCCAGTTATTCCGGTTAAGTCTAAGTATCATGTCAGGTTAAGTAGAGCATCTTAACGAAATTAATCAGTTAAGTTAACAGTCTGAGCATAGTCAATAGTAATTGTTTATATTATTTTCAGTTTGATCAGGCAACAGCACTACCGCTCAGTTCAGCAGTTCAGGTGGGGACTCAGACTACGTATCACATTGATTATAATTACAGTACCATGTTTGAGGTATGTATTTCAGTTGAGGCATCCGCTCGGAATGGTCGCCGGTCCATTCTGGGTTCTAGTGGCCCTAGTCTGCCCACTAGAGTGTGCACATGGTGTCCGGCTTTGCCGGCAGATGAGGTAACGGTCAGGGTCACGTTTGCGTGACGATTTCAGGGTCACGATTGTGTGACGATTTCAGATTCATGTTTATTACCGGCTTGAGGTTGATGTTATGTATATACTGATATCATGATGTTGTTATTATTTTCGATGTTTTACATTAGTATGAGTTTCCACGGAGCACAGTGCCATAGTGCTCACTCCCCAGTTTTATCATGTTTTTTAGGACATGACGTCGGGCCGGGAGCATGAGCGTGACGTGACGGGGACTTCAGGATATTTATGTTTTGGACTGTATAAATATGATGATGACTTACGCTTCCGCTTATGATACTTTGATGACTTGTGATGATGTTTTTGATGACTTTTGGACGTACTCGTTTTGACGAACTCATTTTTTTAACGAACTTTTGAAAACGTATGATTTCAGTAACCGGACGATTTTATTAAAATTAAAACAACGGTTTTCTAAGTTAAGTAACGATTTTTAAAGGTAGCACCCCGAATCAGTTTTCGCAAAGTAAAAAGGTTTTATTTTAAATAACTTTGCGGAATTTGCGCCACTCTGATCTTACGATAAGGAGGGGTGTTACACCTATCGAGCGATTTAAGGCGCGGGAGCGGCTTGTCGACAGACGGGACACACGATCTTCATCAGCGCGCGCGCACGAAGCCGCGCACGACTAGAAATAGGCAACGCGAGGTCGGCGCGCACAAGGGCGGCTTGCATGTGAGGCGGACGAACTTGGAGTGCAAGAAAAGCAAAAGGCTTGGAGATCAAGACTAGTAGTATTGTTAGGATTCTATTTCCATATTGCTTTAGTAGATCTAGATTGTTTAGGATTTAATATTTTATTACTTTAATAAGTTCCCTAGTAAGATTAGGCTTAGACTAAGTTAGGATCTATAAATAGGGATGTTCCCTCATTGTTTTAAGAGCCCAGTCCAGAATTGATGAGTTGAATAGAAAAGAACGTTTGTTCAAACCGTGTGTTAGGATTCGTGAGAGTTCGATCATGCAATCGAATTAGTGAGGCAAAGACCCGAGCTAGTTCAAAATCGAGGGAGCGAGGCTAATTACCAAGTGAACTCAAGTATCGTGAGAGAGTTAGGCTAATAACCGAGTCCATCACACCTATCCGTCGAGAACAAGTCGTGGCGAGGCTGTGTTCGAGGCAAGCGAGTGAAACAAGACACACAATCCTTCATCACACTTCTCGAGATATATATGCGAACCAAAAATAGAGTTTGGAGTTTGAAATCTTTGTACATTTTACGAGGCCTTGAACATTGTGCGATGTACTTGAGTTGATTCAACGTCTTTATTAATCAAGTTTATCGTAGTGAAGAATTGATATAGCTGTCTTATGGACTGAAGAATCAAATAACTGAAAAAGAATTGATATCATCGTCTTAAAACTGAGATTTTTACAACACAGTTATCTTTGAATTTCAACTGTGTTTCTCTAAGAGATTCCAGTTTTGGTCATAAAAACTTGCATCTGTCATAAAAACAAGTATTTGTATTTTTTAACAGCCTGAAAGTTAAATATTATCTAAATAAGTTACTGGTCACATTAATACTGATTGCTCCTTAAGATATTCATCACCTGATCTGATATATGTATGAGTTACATTCTGAGATGAATGGAAGCGGCTGTTATGCAAGTGATGGTTCATAAATTTTCATTTATTTGGATTTTTCTCTTTGATTTTTAATTAATTAATATTCAAGACAAAATAACGTAATTTCGCTTTATCTTTCAATGTAATTTCTTTATGTTATAATCATTAATTATTACTCTAAAGAACAAAATTCCTCAGAATCCCCGGTAGTACTACCGTGTGCCCTGGCTAGGTGTGCCAGGGCACATTTTGCACGCGCTCCTCACTCCCCAAAATTAGAAAATTAAGAGAGTGTAGTGCACATTCCTCTTTTTCTTTTTTTAATTGAAAAATGAGACATATTACATAAATTAAAATATCATTAATTATTTATATTTAAAAAATAAAATAAAAATACCAAAATTCATAATTTTTTATTATCTATAAATAGAGACCACACTTGATAGGTTTTTTAACACAATTAATTTTTCGTTTTTTCGTAATTATTTTATTATACTGACATATTATGAACATGTTACATAACAAGATGAATATGTTTTCAAATAAGATGAACATGTTACAGATTGCAGATTGAAAATAATACATATTCATCTTATTTTATAACATGTTCATCTTATTCTATAACATGTTCATTTTATTATGTGACATGTTCATCTTGTTCTATAACATATTCATTTTATTATGTAACATGTTCAGCTTATTCTATAACATGTTTATTTTATTATATAATATGTTCATCTTATTCTATAACATGTTCATTTTATTATGTAACATGTTCATCTTATTCTATAACATGTTCATTTTATTATGTATGTAACGTGTTCAACTTAATTATTCTATAACATGTTCATTTTATTATGTAACATGTTCATTTTATTCTATAACATGTTCATTTTATTATGTAACATGTTCATCTTATTTTAGAATATGTTCATCTAAATTTCATCTGTGAAAATGTAATATTTTTATCTTACTTTATGACATGTTCATCTTACTCTATAACATGTTCATCTTACTATGTAACATATTCATCTAATTATAGATTTGCGTAATAATCTTCCTTCCAATAAGATAAATTAATTGTAAAAAATGATAAATTAATTGTGTTCCAAAAATTATCAAATGTGGTCTCTATTTGTAGAGAATGAAAAATTATGAATTTTGGTATTTTTATTTTTATTTTTTGATACAAAATATGAATGATAATTAAATTTATATAATATAATAAATGAAATTCATTACCCAATAAAAATGAGACACATGTCACATAAAAAAAAACACTTAACTTCTTACCTCTCACGCGCCTTTAGAGGGAATGTAATTCACATAAGGCTCTGGCACACCTAGCAAGGTGTGCCAGGGCACACCTAAGTATTTGCCCAGAATCCCATCCTTTGATCAAACAAACACTTGACTTGACCATTAAAAAAAAAAATGAGAAATGTTGTATGCACTTGATAAATGTGTTAACATATATTTGATCCGCCACAAATCCATATAGGCATACAAACCAACCTTATTTTGATTGATATGGTAATTTTTTTACATTTTGAACTCAAAATCCAACTTAGAACTTTTTTATTTTTTTTTTATTTTTTTATCAATAACTAAATAACATCAACGAAGTCATCATCACATATAAAATAACCAAATTCTATTATTCATTTACTCACACATATTTATCTATTCATCATTTTTAATTAGCAAATATCATTGTTCATTCACTCATATATATTTACCTATTCATCAATTCTAATCGGCATCTCTCTACTTTTACATCATAAAGTTTAAAACATTACAGTTTAAATACAAAACACAAAATTCTGCTTAAATCTTAGCTCAATCAACTATCCAATAAATCAAATGAAAACCAAAATACTTTTTATCTGCAATGCACCAACTGAAAATCCTCATTCTCAAGGAAAAAAAAAAGTTCCAAAATAAATAAATAAATAAAAATCAAGGGCACACCGCACAACTCTCATGCAGAAACATTTCCACAATCCATGCGATGAACTTGTGGCCATTGTCCACTTCACCATTTTTCAACATCTTCTCCCCAAGAAAACCAACCAAAAACACTATTATTGGCACCTCACAAACTTTCACCCCTCCAAACCCTTCTTCATGATCAGAAGCTCCCATTTTTCCATTCCTTTGCCCTCAAACAACTCTTCCCCAAGATCCAAATTCCTCATTCAATCGGGCCGCGCGCACCCGCACGTGTGCGCACCACCACCATGGCTGGAAAACGAGCGACGAGCTCAATACTCGTCCTCCTCCTCACCGTCTTCTTCCACCTCGTGACCATGGCCTCTAGCGAGTCCGAGTCCGAGATCCTCCTCAAATTCAAGGAGTCCCTCAAGAACGCCGAACCCATATCTGGATGGGCCGGGCCGGGCCAGCCCTGCAGTGGCTGGCCCGGGGTCATTTGCGGAGGAGGGCGCGTTTGGGGGCTGAAGCTCGAGAACATGGGCCTTGGCGGCACGGTCGACGTCGACTCCTTATCCAAACTTACGGGCCTCCGGACCGTGAGCCTCATGAACAACGAGCTCGATGGGCCCTTGCCCAAGCTGTCGAAGCTCGGCGCCCTTAAGAGCATCTACCTGTCGAACAATAAGTTCTCGGGAGAGATAGCGGCTGACACATTTGACGGGATGATGTCGCTGAAGAAGCTCCACCTGGCAAACAACCGATTCACGGGCAAGATCGCAGTGGGCCTAACTGGACTGCCCAAGTTAGTCGAGCTCAGGCTCGAGAACAACGCTTTTGAAGGGGAGATACCCGATTTTCCGCAGAAGAGGCTCCGAGCTTTCAACGTGTCCGACAATCAACTGGTTGGGGAGATCCCACGTCAACTCGGCCGTCTCAATGCTTCGTCTTTTTCAGGTGAGTTTTGTTTGGATTGAAAAAAAAAATTCTTTACTGTGATATATTGAGATGGATCAAGATAATCCAACCCCTTTTATCTTAATCTTTGTATTTTTTTTTTTGAAAGAAAAATAAAAAATAAGAAACATCAAAGAAATGAACATGAAAAACCTAAATACAATCTAATCATATTCAAATTCAACCGACTCAATGAATGAATGATGCGTTCCAAAAAATAGGCAACTCGAACCTATGTGGGGCCCCCTTGGCCCCGTGCACCACTAAGAAACGCCTACCACTCGTAGCCATAATCGTGGCCGCCGTCGTAGTGGCGGTGGTCGTGGCGTCCCTCCTTGTCGTGGTCGTCATCCTCCGCCGCCGCCACCGTCACAAGAATCCGGGCACCGGCCAGCCGGACGGGACCCGAACCGCAGCCAAGGACATGGCAGACTCCGGGGACCTCGATCGGATGGAGCGGGGTCAAGGGTCAGCATCCCCAGGGAGGCCCGGGGTTCGTCTGACGTTCCTAAGGGAGGGAGTGGATATGTTTGACATGCCGGACCTACTCAAGGCATCAGCGGAGGTGCTCGGGAACGGGTCATGCGGGTCGACGTACAAGGCCGCTCTCGGGAGCGGCAAGGTGATGGTCGTCAAGAGGTTTCGGCATATGACCACGAGTAGCCGGGAGGAGTTCAACGAGCACATGAGGCGGCTCGGGAGGCTCGGCCACGACAACGTGCTCCCCGTCATCGCATTCTACTACCGCAAGGAAGAGAAGCTCCTCGTGGCTGAGTACGTACCCAACGCTAGCCTTGCCGCACAGCTTCACGGTATGCCTTTTTCTCTTAACGCAAGGAATACAAAATGAAACACGAAATAGAACACAAAATTTTATGTTAGTGAGTGAGTGCATTTCTTTCTACCATCATCTCCTGTTTGAATATACATAGAACTCAGAAGCATCCTAGACGAGCCGCATAGTATGCTTCCTCTCTTCACATAAACGCTACATATATGATTCGTATGTGCCGCATTCAAACAAGAATACAAAACCCTTAACTATAACAAACATGCATGCCACCTCCTTGTTCTCTATGTGCTCATAGAATGCTTCGATTCTCATTGTAAACGACAAACATTTAGAAAACCTAAAGATTTCGCGCGGTGCGAATTCAAACACCATACAAAAAACTAAGCTAAAACGAAACTTGCATCACAAAATCTATCTCTTTCATTCCTTTCTCTTCCTTGCAGGCAATGGATCCAGTGGCCAGCCGACCCTCGACTGGCCCACCCGACTCAACATCATCAAGGGCGTAGCCAGAGGTCTCCAATACCTCTACCACGAGCTCCCGAGCCTAACGACCCCACACGGCCACCTCAAGTCCTCCAACGTCCTCCTCGACTCTTCCTTCAACCCTCTCCTCACCGATTACGGCCTCCTCCCCATCATCAATCCGGACCACGCGCACTCCAACACGACCTCCCACATGTCCCCCGAGGCCAAATCCTCCGGTGGCCGGATCACGAAAAAGTCTGACATATGGAGCCTCGGCATCCTCATCCTCGAAACCCTAACTGGGAAATCCCCATGGGAAGGCGAGCCAGACTTGGCAGCTTGGGCAGCCACCGCCAACTCGGAGGCGCTCGACCCAGAGGTTGCGAGCTTCGCCAACCGGGGGGAGATGACGAAGCTACTGAGGGTGGGGCTGAGCTGCTGCCAAGTGGACCCGAACGCACGTCCCGAGATCAAGGAGGTTGTGGATAAGATCAACGAGGTGAAGGAGAAGGAAGGAGACGACGACTTCTACTCGTCGTACGCCAGCGAGGCCGATGGGCGGTCATCGAGAGGCCTATCGGACGATTTCAAGACAGTCAATATATAGAGTGATACACACGTGCATGAAAAGGAAAAAAAAAAGAAGAAAAAAGAAAATCTTTATATCTTTTGTTAAAATACTTGGATGCGAGATGTTAATTAGCCTCTTTTTTTATTTTTATTTTTCTCATAGGATTGTTCTAAAATGCGATCCCCTACTTTTGCTTTCCATTTGCTTCCATATATTATACATTCCTATGTTTTAAGTTTAAGTGAATTTTTTTAGCCATGTTGAATTGTGAAACATAAATTTTAGCCATTTTTTTGGAAGAAAAACATCTTTTTTTAACTATTTTGGTACTTAAAAGACAAAAATACTCTTACTATCTATTTTTTTCTAAAAAGAAAATCATCTCTCTCATCTCTCTTCTCTCATTCATTTTCAATTTCATTCTCTCATCTCAAAAAAAAAAATCAATCTCTTAACAAAAAAGAAATCATTCTCTCCATTTCAAAATTCCGGCAACATTCCAGTGACACTATAGTGATATCTCAGAAATATTAGTGTAATGATATGTTTATAATTTATCTTTTTTTTTAATGGGTCACATATATATTATTCAAATTAATAACATAAATATTGAAAAAAAAAATTTTGTAGAAATCGATTTATTGGAACATTGAATGATTTCTGGACCAGAAATCGATTTCTGGGTCTAAAAATCAATTTTTGGGACCAGAAAACCCAAAAATCGATTTCTCGACCCAAAAATCGATTTCTGGGACCAGAAACCATAATCAATTTCTGGGTCCCAGAAACATCATTTCTGGATCGAGAATCGATTTTTGGGTCCCAGAAACATCATTTTTGTGTCCCAAAAATGATTTCTACGTTTCTGAGACCTGGGACCAGAAATCAGATAGACCCAGAAATCAGTCCAGAAATTGATTTCTGGGACCAGAAACCGTTTTTGGGATCCCACAAGTCCCAGAACGTCATTTCTGGTCCCATAAATCTGTTTTCAATCTCCAACATGGTTTATTAGATCCCAAAAACGGTAGATAAATCCCAAAAACGGTTTTCAGATCATATAAATTCCAAAAATCATTTCTGGTTCAAATTTTATTTGTTTTATAAACATTGATTACTTAGTTCTCAAATAATATTGGGAATTGTTTGTCAGTAAAATACTTTGGCATCTTCGTTTTACAGATGTGTGAAGAAATTCGAAATTGTGCATAGCGGATTTTGGGATGAGAATGTTTATAAAAATGGACAGGCAGAGATGAACTTTTTGCGTTTGGAGAGTTTGTTGTATGAAGACTTTTTAAATAGAGTTAATGACATTGTTGGTGGACACAAACACACGTGTAAGTATCGATTTCACTTCTTGATGGCGAATGAAAATGAAGAGTTAGAAAAATGGAGTTTCTTGTGAATCTGACTTGCACAATTTGGTCGAATTGTTCCAAGTACCTACTAGGTCAAACTATTTTAATTGCTGCTCAAAGTCAACCGTTTTATCCATATGGTGTTACCGTTCCATCTCTTGCGAACTTACATTAGCAAAGCAACCCAAATATTGGTTTTGATAATAATACAGTGCAACATTATGCTTCTCACAGAAAAGAACATACCTATATAGTTTAACATCACAAACCAAACATTAAGCAGAGACAAAAAGCTATTACACTATTGCAACACTGTAGTTCAGAGCAGCTATTGCACTAAGACAACACCACTATTCAGAGCAACTATTGCATTATCAGCCTGTTGAGGAAAAAAAATCATTACAGGAGCCTTATAGGCTAACCGGCAAAACAAAACAAAAAAAAATGAAGGGGAATTCGAATCCATAATTTATCCATAGAAAAAGAGTTATTATGTATCAATAATACAACAGAGCTAACAACATAACAATGGAATTTTTGTTCGCTTTAATTTTAAATTTCTTTATATCAAAGGCCAGAAGTAATATTTGCAGAAGAGTTTGTTTTTTTTTTTCAAGTCTTATTTTAGTCCATTACTAGTCATAGAAAACAATATTCACAACGTTTGGACCTAAAAGTCAAAAGCAAACCACACTAAAGTTGAATGACTCTCACAAAAGAGAGACCAAAAAACAAGTAAAAAGATCAAAGAACATGTTAGAGGTATACACAATCACAATTTCTCCAAGACATGTTTCCCTATGGTAAAGGGGAACTATCTCGAAAATATTTCCCTTTTCACCAAATAATGTTTTAATTTTTATAGCACATGGTGTTCACATCTGTTGGAAAAATTCATTTATAAGTGAAAGATGATTTTTTTTTTTTCCTCTCGTGGCATTATCAGCGAAGGAAAATAAAGGCACTCTTGAATGAGGTTATGAACAAACGTTCATCCACTTTGGTATAACTGCATAGCCTCTATAGATGCACAAGATTAAAGTTTTTAACTGGGTGGCTTAATTAAGTTACTATAACTAATAATGTTCCGCTAGATTCGACATTGGCGAAACATAAGACATGGAAAGTAAACTTCTTAAAATATGGTTTGTCTCATAAAAGCATAGGATAGGGAAATAAAGATGCAACAAAGCTAAGGGGATAAATTTACTATAGGTTTACACGAGCATATAAAAGAATTCTGATTAGCTTTTGTCTAAAAGAAGAATTTTCTAATAAATCTCAGACCATGGTAAAAACTTAAAACTGCAACAGATCAAAGACTGTTGTAGCTAAATATATTCATGTAGAAAACAAATCAAGCAATATAACTAAGAAAAAAATCTAAAATTCTTACCATAACAAACTCCACAAAAGCTATACGAGTGGCGTAATGATAATCGTCAAGCAACCTCAAACGATGAACCTGAATCAACATGCACATAGAGATATAATAGAAAATTTCAAGATATCAACCAATATTATATTCACATATTTCAAAGAAGCAGCTACAAACCTCTCCACGAAGAGACTCGAAGAGGAGCTTAACATCTGCTTGAGTAACCTATGCAAAAAAGGAAAAAAAAATAAAAAAAAATTAAAAAGTAGATAATCATGCATGCACGTATCATATATTGTTGTGTCCACATCAACTCAATATATTGTTACTTTTTGTCAATGTTTGTGCAATAAATAATCCTTGCACACATCTCTCTTTCATCCTCAGACTATTATGTGCCCACCCAACAAAAACAAATTAGTAATTAAAAGTTGAAATGAAATATAGTGCTTTAATTGCAAGTACATGTAAAATCGTAGCAAAATTTTCTCACTCTTGGCAAGAAAGTCGGGTTAACAGGCACAATTGCAGTTTTGGAAGGAAGCACTTTCACTGGATAGTATCCAAGCATGGTCCCACTCATGCTCAAAGCATTTCTTGCCCCTTCTGCAAATCGATTGGGAGATATTGCAATGTACTTGAAATTCACATTTAAAAAAATATTAGAAGAGACAAAAGTGTTATCGGTTCAATAACAAACCCTCATCAGTGAATTCAACGAAGGCAAACGAAGCACGGAATTGGGGTCACCACAAACACGGTAGTCCACGTCCTTCATCATTGAACATCAGAAAGTACAAAAAACAATTTTTTTTTTAGTTCTTAGATGAGGGGAAGTTTACTGTTTGGTGAAAGGGTAAATAAAACACATGTTTACCTGTCCATAGTTAATGAAAAGTGTTGCATGCTGCTCCTCATTAACTTAAGAAATTAATACCTCACGTTAAAAATTTTAGAAACAATTAGGAGTGGAGTGAACGATATTTTTTTTAAGTAAAAACCCGGTACCTGATGATCAATGTCAGAAACGTAGACAGACCTCCTGATCACGTCTTCCCTTTGAGCAAGGCTTGTTCGAGAATTAATCCTCCGCTTTCCGTGAGCATAACCATTTTTCTTCTACAACAATACAAGATCTTAAACCTGGTACATACAAGGATAGTGATTGATTTTAATCCAGTTACAAGCCAAGGTTGGTCCAAAACCAATTACTAAATGTATGCTTTCCAAAGAACAGAGAAGATGCATACAGAAACACTGAGAAGATGCATGTTTTCCAAATATACAGTTCAAATTCCAAATTACTAAATTACCATTTTCAGTATCAAAACATCTATGAATTCATTTGAATTGGTAAACAAAAAACAACAACAAAATGAAAAATAACACGAAAATGAAAAACAACACCATTTTCAGTAGCAAAACATCTATGGATTCCAAAACCTGAGGACCATTTTCAGCAGGGAAATTTTTCTTTATTTTCTTTAAGTGGGTTCCTTTTATTAGTCATCTCAATTCTCACCTGATGTAACGAAAGCGTGAACGAATGGGAAGGATACAATACGAGTAAACGAGATACTCTCTCGTAAACACGTAAAACGAGATACTCTCTCGATAAAACTCACAATCAATTTATATTTTTATTCATAATTCAACTGACTAAAACAATATATGATGAGCCCTTTAAACAAGACTCCAAAACTCTATTCCTAACTTGTCCAACAAGACAAGATCTCTAATAATATTTAATTCATAACTTATTCACCAAGATACCTAATAATAATAATAATAATAATAATAATAATAATAATAATAATAATAATAATAATAATAATAATAATAATAATAATAATAATAATAATAATAATTGTAACACCCCGCTATTTCATGAATTTCAGAGCGCGCTTTTCGCAAAATTTTTTATTTTAAATAAAATAAATAAAATATTTCTTTTTGCGAAAACTGATTCGGAGTGTTACCGTAAAATCTGTCTTATTCTGAAAAACCGTTAATTTCTGAGTTTAATACTAAAACGGTTATATAATATTTTAACCGACTAACGTCGGGTCAAAAGCTGATTTAGAGTACTGAAAACAGTAGCGGAATCATAGTGAACCAAACATAATATATACATATAAAAAAAAGTCCTGAATCCGTCGCCCGCTCACTCCTCGGCTCCGACTCTGAAACCTGAAAAACATGAATAATGTGGGGGCGTGAGCACTAAAACACTGTGCCCAGCAGAAACTCATACTAAAGTAAACAGTGAAAATAATAACAATATCATGATCCTGGCATATATAGCTGAACTGATACTGAAACTGATAATGAAACTGATAACTGAAACCGATATCTGATACCGGTACTGAATAATCTGATACTGATCTCGTGATATACATCACATGTTTGAAACTGAACATCTGCCGGCACAAGCCGGACACCATGTGCACACTCTAGTGGGAAGATTAAGGCCACTAGAACCCATAATGGACCGGCGACCATTCCGAGCGGATACTGATAATACATACCTCAAACATGGTAGCGTAATTATAATCAATGTAGTACTTAGTCTGAGTCCCCACCTGATCCGTGAAAATGAAAGGCAGTGCTAATGACTGATGCCTGATCAAACTGAAATATAATATAAACAATTACTAAGTACTATGCTCAAACTGATAAAAATAGCTGTAAAATATGTTAAGATGTTCTACTGGACTTGACAAGATATTTGGTTTTAACCGGTACAACTGGACAGAAAGACGGCGTGACAGCGAGATCGCATGACGGCAAGGGACTCCGTTCAATTTTGCAGGTGAAGATGCAAGAAAAGAAATTTTTGGTGAAGATGAAGTGCAGTGGAGCGAGAGCAAAAATTTTTCAGAATTTTTGGAATGAATTTTTGAAATATTTTCGATCAAACAAATTGTGTAAAAGGAATTTTGAGTTACGGATAATGTAGTAAAATCATATGCTAAAATGGCTAAAAAAATGTTTTTTTTTTTTTTTTTTATAAAAAGTGGCCAAAATTTGTGTTTTGTAATTTTTTGGCTATTTAATGATATTAACACTTTAAGTTTTGTTTTGATTTTTTTTCTATAGGAGTTGCATGTGTAAGAGTTACTACATTTCCTTTTTTTTTGCTTTCTAAAAAAAATTAGAAATGCATAATAACAAAGGTTTTAAATAGCGGTCTAAAATGTTTATGACACTGTAGCTATAGCGGAGCTATAGCGGAGATTTAGCAGGATTTAGCGGCTAAATTACACATGAATACAAATAGCGGCACGCTGCCAAAAAAACAATTTCTCAAATAGCAGCAACTTTAGCGAGCTATTTATTTCCTTGATCATAAGTAGTTTCCTGATCATATGTGAAAGAAAACAAATTGATTGAAATACACGAAACCAAAATAGACTGCAATCGCCATTGATGATAATATGGAGCTTTTCATCATAACCACGCATGTCGCATTTTTATATGTAAAACCTAGCCTAAGATGGACAAGGATAATCTAGTACAAGAAATGATCCTAGCCCAACACATATACGATAGAATTGGATTTAACTTATTCGAAATAAATCGATATTTTAATTTGATACTCGTACACCAAGTATCCAGATTTGCGAACAATTTAATAAAAAAAATAGAATTAAAAGACAGACAGCAAAGGAAAAGGCCTCAGGTCGAAACCAAGATTACCGCATTCGAGTCGATCACCGGATTGGCCTCTTCGGCAGCTTCAAATAAATGTGGAAGCAGTTTCACTGGGAATTGAACCTTCAGGAGAGCGTCTCACTCTCCCTTCGGATCTCTTTAATTAATGCGAACATCTCAAACACTCTTCAAGGATTTACATTATAGACTCCCTCTACACTAAACTTGAATAGTAATTTGCACTATTACTTATCCGACCACAAATCCCTTGTGGCTTTTCTAGTTCGAATCCCTCAATCTGTTTCAGAATGAAGCTCCGAACACTGTTCAATTTCTCACAAATAAAAAAAAAAAACTGAATATCTGACTTCTCTTAGAATAATAAAAAATATAATCAACAAAGATGCAAAAGTCGTCTTCAACATAAGTCTCAGCCTCCTTTTATCTTCAAGTTTCAAATGGTAAGTCTCTTCTTTTTCTTAGTCTCCAAGTTAAAGTGCACATAAGGAAGGTCTCTTGATTCTCAAGGTTGCAATCTCTCTATTGTGATTATGGAAGGTGAATCCCGAGTTTATTCCCCATAGACCTTGATAACACTTCCTCACCTCAACCCGGTTCCCTTCCGTTCCTCATCCGGTTCAAGCTCCCAAAGACCTGCAATGACGCCGGGAGGTGTTCTCGGCGGTAACTCTCCGACGCTCAAGTCAGTAAGGAATAGAAGGGTATAAGAGAATCGTGCGTAACTATAAGTAGGGTTAGAGTTTTGTAGAATATCTCCCTTACCATGTTCTTCCCTCCCCTATTTACACCTGAATGCTTGGCTTATCCTTCACGCTTCCGCCCCATCCATCCAAACCCCTAATTCTCTTTTTACTCTTATATGGGTCGATCCCATTATACTGCAACCGAAATAGGCCGAGCAAACTGCACTCAACCAATCCGCGCTCCTAAACGGGCCGAGCAGTTCACATTCAACGTCCTGAGTTATTGGATTTAAATATGGACCGTGCAGTCCATATTTAACAGAACTAATTTGTAAGGCCTTGCCAAAACCGTGCGATTAAAGCTTCTGTGGGTCACCTTAATACCGGGCCAAGCTTACGCATAAAAACCGGCCCGAGTATACTGCCAAATGAACCATATCATTCTTGTGTTCCATATCATCTAACCCCCCCATTATCAGAAGAGCCATAATTATTCAAGCCCATTGGACTACTAACTGAGAGTCGGAGTGTACGATCACTTTCCTAGCTCTTACACCTGCCACCATCTGCATTCCTTTTAATAGAGCTTCCGTATTCCGCCTCATCATTCGAGGCCCTGAAAGTGAGCTTCACTGCAAACTCCAACGGTTCTCCCCCTGGTGGCAAGATTAGGATGCCAATCCCCGCTCCTATTTTAGTCGAAGACTCATCAACATATACTTCCCACACACCCGGCTTCTCATCCATCGTGCCCTCCTGAATAAAGTCCTCCAACGCCTACGCCTTAATGGCTCTCCTTGTCTCGAAACTAATATTATACTCTCCTAGCTCAACCGCCCATTTGACCATTCGACCGGAAGCTGACGGTCTGCCTAATGTTTCGCTCAAAGGGAAATTTGTGCGTACCACAACCGCATGCGATAAAAAGTAGGGTCTCAACTTCCTAACCGTAATAATAAGAGCTAGAGCCGCCTTTTCTACTTCCGCATACTTCATCTCCGCCCCTTGTAACACTTTACTTATGTAACGCCCCGTTCGTTTATGAATAAATTGGATTATTATTATTATTATTATTATTATTATTATTATCATTATCTGTGGCTATTATTATTGATTGTTAATTGTCTAAATGCTTAAATAATTTTTTTGTGCGTAATTGTGTTTATTATATATATATATATTATTTTCGGTATTTTTATATTAAATATT